TGTTTCTATTTTTCCCTGTTCTCTTCTTATACTTGAGCCCTATATATTTAAACTATATAAGAAAAGAGCAGAGAAATAGTAATATCTGTAATATTTTACCTACTAGAAAACCAAAAACTCTTCTTTTAAAATGATCACATGTAAGAAAATAATCATCTTAAAAGATAATAAGTTTTCACGATTAGAAAGCCTTCATAGTGTGGGCTTTTCCAGTCAGGCAAGAAATAAAATGTATTATATGTTGTATTATAGGAAAAAAATACATTCTGAATTTCTTTCGTTTTTTCCATTATGGAAGTAAAACAAAAGTATATACAATATTCTAATATATAATATTTAATGTTATATAATATTCTAGATAATAACTATACTGAGATTTTAAAAAGCAAACTTCTGTGTCAAGAAATTTAAACAGTGTAACTATTTCTCCTAAGTAATCACTCATCTAAATGCTTACTGATTTACAAAGCACAACATAGAGACTGGTATGGCAGAGGTGTGTAACTGACATCTGACTCCAGGTAGCTGAGGCTGAGGATGCATACACTTCTTCAGGGACAAACTGACACCAGGGTTATCTCCTCAAGTCTATTCTATCCACTAAATGTTCTCCATGTTATGCTATAATTTGAAGAAGTCCTTTATCTTTACAGTATAGACTGCTACAAGCAAGCATTTGTTAGAGACTTCACTGACCATTCAGTGCAATCAAGATTATAGCAGAGCTGTGACAAACCCGGAACTAATATATTCTCGGGAGCCTTATCTTCCTTATAACATATACTGTGACATTTAACTTGTTAAAGCCTTCATGTTAAATTAGAGGATCCAGCCAATGAATTAAACATTTATTGATATTCATGACCACAAGAGATTAATTTATATACTTTATAATTTTAAGTTAATCTTAAATCCTTTGAAATAGCCAATTCTTTTCTAAACTGATTTCCAAACAAATAAACTCTCTTAAATATAGCTACTCAAAAATTTAATACAACGTCTGTGTTTTGGAGGTTTTCTCTAGTTCTTCGGGTTCCTCATGAGTTTTGTTGATGATTGGAAAATTATGCCTTTCTTTTTTCATATCACAATAAAATCATTAGCATATTTCTTCAAAAGATATTCTAATATATAAGTGTAACAAGAGTAAGAGTTTACATAAGACCATTTATAAAAAGCAGTTCCTAATATTTCAGTAATTTAAAAGGTTTCATACCAAACAGAGCTATCTAGTATAACAGCCCCTAAATTAGTAATGGCACATGGTGAATGTTTGATATTCATGATTTTAATTATACTGATTACTACACATAACATTTAAAGGTAGTAGATACTTTTATAAATTCCTATCATAGAAAAAAATATTTTCCAGCTATACTATTTGCAAGGTGAAAATACCATAAAAAACGGTGCTGAAAAAAATTAAATCAAATATATCAAGTTCTGAGTCCTTTCTCAAGGCAAGAATGCCAAGCTGCTTTTGAATGAAACTGCAAACGACCTACTCATTACTCACAAATGTACCTGACATTTACTGGGAGGAACTGTCCTCTACTATTTGGGACACAGATACAAGTACCAAGCTTATCCACTAAACCTCTAGCATGTACAGTATATTTCCTGTGCTTAGCTAAAATAAGAGCATGCTCTTTAATGAACTAAAAATCATCTAAAGATGGTTATGCATATTACGGCTTTGTCAGCTGTCACTTCTCAGCTGCTTTCATCTTTAAAACTTGGTTTATAATTGCTGATCTTAGCATTCCTATGAAAACATATTTCCTAAATCATGCCATAATTCTAATTATCAGCCTGGTTTTCCAACAAGTAAATAGGTTATGTTCCTACTTAATGAATACTAACATTTTCCAAATTATTATAAAATATAAATAATGATAAAAATTAAAATGACCAGTAAGACTAAGAAACATAAAATTTTAAACTGCTACACAATTAAACTAAATTTGTCTATAAATATATGAAATGAGAGGTTTCAATAGTTGATTTTCTGAAATTAAATGAACTCATTTGAAATTTCCCATTATATATAATTGAGCCTTTTTCCCACTCTCATAAACACACTACAATAACACTAACTCTGATTGATGGTTACTTCACCCGAAAGTTTACTTTTTTATTTCAAAACACTCCAACTACATGTCTGAAAATGTCTACTGCAATATTATTAAAATAAAGTCACAATACATTCATACACAAGCTACAATAGTATGTTTCAATGTGTCACTGTCTTCAAAAGTTTTTCTGTGAAATAATATCCTTAGTAACATTTACAATAAAACATTTGAGTTCATTTTGTTTTTCTTTTCTTTTTTTTTTTTTTTTTTGATGATCCAAATCTATAGTGAAGTGATGGAATCAGAAACAAGTGTTCTTGTCAGAAAACAGGAAGAAAGGGTTTTCTCCTCCCAAAAAGAAACAAAGGATTCCTGAAGCTTGCCCTGATTTATTTTTCCAATTTTAAATACCTTAAGAGCAGCGGAAGTGCTACTGGCGTGGTAGTATTTCTAACAGTCAATAAATCTACAATATTATGTGTGAATATTGGAATGAAGCCATTAAGAAGATTACAGCATGCGACGCACCAGAGGGTCCACAGGAGAGAAGGGCTAGTAATTCAGGACAACTGTGACCACTGACCTTTGAGCAGCCATGGCCACTGGTCAATGTGACACAGTAATAGAGTGCACATGCACACACACAGTCGCCCAGCCTGTAAGCATAATTTAAATGCTTTACTGGATGATTTTTAAAGAGCCTCATTTTAAATTTCAGTTAACTTATTAACTAATCAAACAATGCCAATAGTAATACCTTTCAGGCTTTAAAACTATTTATTAATGTAAATCACACATTAAAAATTGAGTTATCATTCAGAATTTTATCAGATCTTACTTAAAATGTTTGCCATTTTAAACTGTGTTGTAATACTTTATTGTGTTTCCCCCAGAGCTTTAAAAGGTCAACCCTGAAAAAATTAATGAAGATGAGAACCTTATTAGAGATGCTTTTAACAACAGCCTAAAGTATTTTAGAAATTCAGCATAACATTAACACACCTATTTTCAACAAATGGCTCTCATTCTACCAGAGCTTTTGTTTGCCAAGTCTTCAGCTATCTGCAAGTCTGAGGCCATCAGACCACAGCATCTCTGCAATCCGTGGGGGCTAGCTGGCAAGGCTCCTTTTAACTACAGGCTCACAATGGCGGTTAGCCTATGTGCTAAGTAAGCTGCATACCGACTCTTTTGTGACCTCATACGTGTATCTGTACATCTCTGTATGCTGGTTAGCATCCCTATACATTTAAATCAATATCTTAGTTACAAAAAATTATATAAGAGAAGTACTTCTCAGTTCAAAGGAATTCCCATTACGCTGAGACTTCAAAGGCTTGTCTCAAGGATCGAGCTCAGTGCACTATACAGATTTTAACATCATGTAGAGAAAAGCTGAGTTTCTCTCTCTCTTCTTTTCAGTAAACAACCCTTCCTCCTAAATCATAACAGTAGGAAATGTGCATAGCATAAGGAAAATGTTTAGGAAAGCTAGAATGCTATTTTCATAACTTCACTATCTAGTGAAAAATATTTGGATGGATTTCTAAACGCATAGCAAACCCCTCTCAGCAGTCTGCAGAACTCCTTAAAGCAGCATCCAGTGTCCACTGGTCTGAGTTTGGATTGTTCACAAAGAACAATTTTACTACAATGGAAGCACAGTTCAGTTTAATGAGTTTAAAGGTCAGAGAATGGTTTGGTAATTGATAAGCATAAGTAATCTTGCTTTGTTATTAAATTCCCATTTTCCTATCACTGGCTGTAAGAATGAGCTAGGTTAGAATTGGTTTATTTTTTTTAATTGGATATTCTTAATCACTTTTTCAAACCCCTTAATAATAAAGAAAAAATATTGCAAACTTTATGTTCAATTCTCAAATTTTATTACCTTGAAAAGAATGGGCATTTGAGGGTTATTTTTTAAAAGAAGGGAGTTATTTTACTCTTAGAATGATGCTATTAAGATATTTAAATAGCCATTAAATCTATAGAGAAATTGCACTGGTTTGTAATTTTGCCCTATATTAAAGAGCATAAAAGCCAAAACTACAATTTTACACTGGTTATTTAATACAAAATATAGAATATATCCTACTAAAAACTACAAACATCACACACACACACACACACACACACACACACACACACTCTGCAAGATCAAAGTCCCAAAGAGAACTGGCACTTAATTTATCAGCTTTACAGACAAAAGACAGTTTTCGTCATTTCAAAAGGATCAGATGTCTTTTATGACAAACTGGGTTTGCAGTTTAATTTACAAATAGAATTCTAAGTAAGCATTCTCTGCTCTGCCAAAGCAGATGACGAACTGGAGGTTTTCATTCTTGTGGCCCTCAGCAGGACAGGAAAGATTAAAATAAAACTGAAATAATTTAGAGAAAACAAATAAATGTTTCAGAAAGTTGAGAGAGATCAAAGGCAGAATTTTCTGACCCCAACTGTACAAGCATTTCTTATTATATTGACCAGTGCCATCAGATCATTAATTAAAAGGAAAAGCGCTGGCAGGTGGCAGGGAAGCAAAAGCCGATAATTGGCCCCTTCTTCTTCTTGCCTTCAAAAACTCGCTCATTCTTTCGCAAGACATGCCACTAGGCAGACAGAATGCCTACTTTGTAATATAATGATTAAGATGGGATGAAGAGACTTGATGTGTAAAGAAACCCTACCTAATGAATGCATCTAGCTTTTTAATTATGATTCCATTTTACAATAAAGAATATAATATTCCATTTAACATTTCAACTGCCAAAAGGAAGAAATATTAAAAATAGAACCTACATTGATTTTTCTTACAGCCCTCATATACACTGACTTTAAAGGTTCAGATACAAAGTGAAAACCCATAACTTTCGGGTCCAGCAGCAAACACTCTTGTTCACCACGGATAGCCCTTGGACTTACCACATCACTGGGCAGGCTGCTCAAGTCATTAAATGGTGATTCTAACGTGTTTGTGTCCACATTTAACACAACCACATCTTCCAATGATTTATTTTTCACTCTCTGTTTAAAAAACACAAGTATTAAAAAAACCTTATTATATATTTCTAACAAAATTAAGATGAGTTTGGAAACAAAAAAAATGATCTTGATACATTCAGCTTAGGAAAATTCAAAAGGGAAATTCAACATTATAAAATAATGTAAACAACCTTGTTTTCTGAGAAAAAGATTGACTGTAATTCATTCAAAGAGATTTGATTAAAATGCTTATACTCGAAATTTTCTTCATTTACTATCAATATAACTGCCAAAAAATTTAGCCCAACAAAAACTTGTAAAAAAAGGCAGAGGTACATCAAATATAAAAACTGTAGCCTTTACCAGAATGTCAATCTTATGATATGGTAATTTGTTTCCAGTTTCAAATCTATTTTAGCATAAATACACTAGAGAGATTATATTTATATAATATATATATAATTATATTGTATTTATGATAACTACAACTATAGTAGTGACCTACATTTCAAGTGAATAAATGTGTTTCTACACTGCTCTACCAATATGTATCAGTGAGTAGGTCTGAAAGTGAATTAGGAACCCAACGGAGAGACTACTAGTTTGTAATTTTCCAATCATTTACTCATATGAGTTTCTGTATAAAGAGTAAAACTTAATAGTCCATCAGATTGACCTATCTTTCCATGTTGTTTGAAAATTTAGTAAGAGTATCTCAGTAAGTTTACAAATAATAGTGAGCTATAAAAATTTTATCTAATTATACCTAAAGGAGAAATACTAATGTTTATTCTCTCTGTTTCACATATCTCCTTAAATTACTGACTCTATCACAACACTCCTCAGAGGTCAGTGATTCACTCATGAAATGAGGTAAAGTCACAGATCCAGAATCCATGTTCATGTAGACTTACTGGTGAAAGGTAGTTAATAATTTCAATACAGCAGTTTTAAGTGCCCTTCTATACAAGGCACTTTGTACTTTTAGTTAAGCCCATAATTATTTTTTGCTAAAAGAGAGAGAAAAAGAGGAGGTCTCTCTAGGTAGTCCTGGTCATCCTGGAAAACTATGTAGGCCAGACCAATCTTGAACTCACAGGAATCCTCTTGCCTCTGTATTTCAAAGGCTATGATTACATGCACGCTCCAGTAGCTAAGTGTTGCAAATTTAAAGTAGTTTAACCAGTTGTTTTGCTACACATTGATTCTGATTAAAGTGTCTCTGATCCATTTTGGGTTTCAAATCTTTGAGTATTTAGCCAAAGGTTAAATTTCCTACAGAAGTGAGACTTGGGGGTGAAGAGTTTCTATGTGGTTATAGAAATCCACAATGAAGACTGTGTGTTCTCGAGGAACACTGGCTCTAAAATTTGTCTTGTAAAAGACATAATTACTACAAATTCAGAGTTAAGAGATGGCTACCTCTAAGTTACTATTAAAAAAATCATTTTTCTGGTGATATAATTGAAATTCTATACTCATGTCTATAAATACTTTTATTTCCTTTTCTTTTCATGTGTTCAAATATTTAAAATAAATAAATAATTATTGCATATATTAACTCTAATTTAATAACAATTTATAAGCAAAATATATAATGCTATTTTTAGAATATATTAAGTATGTAATAATATGATGTGGTCATCTCATACCACAGAAAATGACATAATACAAAACACTAAATCTATTTTTTCCATTCAGAAATGAATATGTCCAAATACTCTGATATTATACTATCAAGACTTTTTTAATGACATTAGCACAAAAGTCTGAATAATAGTATTAATGTGATATATAGACTTTTTCTATTGCTTTTAGTTTTTAAGGCAGATAAGAACAATATTAAATTTCATACAAGGGATTACTGAATAAACATAGAAAAACTGCTCATTAAATAAACTAAAACTTTAATATTACAATAAATCCATTTAGGCTAAAGGGGGAAAGTAGGTGGCAATTCAACTACTTGGAAAAAAAAAAAAAAACCTGATACTAGCACTCTCTTGTTTCTCTCCAAAGTAAGTGCTAGCTATCTCTTCTTTGAGATGTAAGTCTCAGGCATGTAAGTCAGAAATGGCACCTCTTCCTCTGTCTTATATTTTTGTATCTTTTGTGGGGTGTGATTTAAAAGAACACATGAGAATGATTTTTTTCAGAAAAGTAAGAACATAACGCTGGACCCAGAGTGAGAAGCTGGTAAGGAATGTGAGGTCTTAAGTCTCTCTCATGTCCTGTAGATTCAACCCTTGCACACACTGCAGCTATGCACATTACACACACTGGGGTGCTGTAATGACATAGGGCAGCAATCACAGAACCTTTCCAAGAAAACAAGCAAGGCTGCCCTTATTTCTGTAGCTTCCAAATGACTCAGCTAAGGACTCAGTCAGCACTTAATTTCACTCAGAAAGCTGGGGTTTGGGGAGAATAAAATCTATTTCCCTTATTTCAGAAATAAATGTATACTTTGAAACAGTACTTTTCCAACATTCTTTACTGACAATTATATTTAAAAAAAGTGAAAGGAAGTCTCAAAGAACATAAGTTTATATGTTATAAAGTCATGTTTTAGAACCTGGAGGGTCTTATATAATTAATAATAATAGTTGAGTCTGTTAGGATCAAAAAGAACACTTTTTAGATTTTCTTAAAAACTAGTTGCAATTGCAAAAAAAAGGCAAAAACTTACTCATTTTTGTCTTACATATTAACTACTCAACTACCTATATTCAGTTTAAAATATTATAAAGCTCAATTTTAATTTAAGTCTGCTTGATAGTGACATAACGAAGCATGAGCTATATCATCTTACTATAGTTTAAGAAAATTGCCCAGAGGTTGTATTTTATGTTCCTTGGTGTTTTGCCTGCATGTATGTGTGTGTGAGAGGGTGTGAGAAGCTCTAGAACTGACTTTACAGACATGTGTGAGCTCTCGTGTGTGCTGAGGATTAAGCCTGAGTCCTCCAGCAGAGCAGCCAGTGCTCTGAACCACTGAACCTACTCTCTAGATCCTTATGCACTGGGTTAAAGGAAGTTCAAATGCATCTGCTCCTACCCTGTCAACAAGCTGAACACAGGCTGATAAACAAGATAAACACAGCACAGAAAGATGAGGCAACTTCACACAGTCTAATTATGGCTCTAAATATCTCATTTCATAAAAGGAACCAACTGAAAGTTAGAATGATCTTTTTCTTCAAAACAGTACTTTTCAAATAAAAAAAATCAAAAACCAATTCTGAAGATTGAGGGGGAAATAATTTAATTATATCTTAATTTCTCAAAAAATTATTTTAAATTTAAACTTTCTTTTTAAGTGGCCAATAAGTGTATGTGCTTCCTCATCCATCATAATTTGGAAAAGACTAACTATTTGCTTTAAAGGTGAATATAGAAGTGTTCCACACATAAAAATTAACATAAGACAACCAGGCACTCTCTCCAACTTTAAATAATTTTCATGTCTAGGTAATACACTATAAAATTATGTGTGCTATTAATATTTTTAATATAGAAATGATGAAAATCAAACTTTATTACTAATAAGAAAAATATGAGTAATTAATTAAATCAAAGTCAAAGTAGTGAAATTTAGATTATACACTACCTGATCTAATCACAGATAACGCTTATCTGTTCATGTCTCATTTCATATACTTCATCCTTAGCTATAATAGTTTCTTAAAATTAATAAAACATAAGGAGTCACAAATTTATCCCACTCTGACTTTAATTCTAAGAAATGTTAGACGTACTAAAATACATTAAAATCTAAACTTTAGTAATGATGAAACAGAACTATTGCATTAAGATTTTGAAAAAAAATTCCAATTCCAAACTTGAGAATAGATACAATTCTATAATCAAAGATTTTCTCAAGAATTGGGCTCTATTTTAGTACAGAATCATCTCAGATCAAAGCAAAGCCTAGTATTGGAAAGTAAAGGGAAAACCACACCTAACTAGTCAGTGTGCTCATTAGCAACAGGGTTGCATTATTAACGCTATTCTGTACAATCAGCAATGGAGAAGTGTGTTTGAATGAAACTGACATTGGCTAGTATAATGATGCTACTCAGCTGACTCAAACCTTATGCTTTACCCATTTTGAAATTAATATGCCAATCTTATAAGAAGTCCTGTCTAGAAATCTCACAGGCTATAAACCCAAGTGTTTAAAGTTTAAGGAGTTTCAGTTTAGGGACAAAGTAAGAAACAAAAATAATTTTTGAAATGATGGGATGACAGAGGAAATAAAGCCCTACTAACTTCATCTTCTACAGTAGGACTGAAACTCTGAACATGGAAAGGATATTCTTTGTCTTCTCCTTACTTCGACAGGCCTAGCATTGGGGGAACCCTTGTTCAGTCCCTTAAAGACCTGAACCACAAGAATGAGTAACCATGTCTGATTAATACGTTTATCATTAGTATGTTAAACTCACATTTTGCGTCTGATAAACTGGAAATAATAAAGTATAAAAGAAAAAAAACTGATTTTGTGAATCATAAATATAGAAAATTTAATTTCAAAATACTGTACCAAATATAAGATACAGAAAATCTCAAGTTGTAAGATATCACTGGTTCATTGGGAAACAATGATTTTCTTATTTAAAACTGACCACATGACTTCAAGCACAACCATTCCCATAGGTTTCACAGTGTCACAGGGCAAACCAGTACACTACATCAACTGAATTTATTTGAGGAACACTTTCTGGAAATATTCCCTTGAGTATTTCCATGATGTCAATCTCATACATCCTAGAATTAGTCAAATATGCTTTTTTAAAAACCTCTTTTATCTATTACTTCTAATTAATTAGTTTTATAACTATCTTACTGTAAAAGATACTCACCTCTATGAGACTGGAGTGTATTCCAATCAGGTATGGCATTGGGGCACTAAATTAAAAATATATATGTGTGTATAGATTCATATAGTTCATTAAAGCTGAAACAACATTAACGTCATTCAAATGCTCAAAAACTAATTTCAAGTGATCAGTCCACCATAAGACATTACAGATTTTCAAAGTTACATAATGTATAAGAGTTAAATTTCATCTTCTAGGTCATTAATATATTTAAGGCTAGTTTATATAAAAAATCTCTAAATTCCTAATTTTTAAGCAAAAGTTCTATACTTAAATAGTATTTTATTTAAGAAGACTATCAGAGTGTAGGTCAAATATTCTTGATAGTAAATACATTTTAAATAACTATCAAAAGTATCTACATTTCTTTTACACATATCTTTTGGTCAGTTTGATTATTCTGGTAATTTAATGGTTTGCTGTTATCTCGTGCCTAAGATGTCACGGCCACTCAGGCACCCAGTACTTATCTTGTGTGTTCTCCCTGCTCTAGGGCAGTGAGGCACACGGTCAGTCCCCTCTGTGTTCTTTCCCTCATGCACATTCACATTCATTCTACTTTCATTGTTATGGATAGAACAATTTTAATCAAAATTTTGAAGTCTAATACTAATTTTAAATGAAGTATTTCAGGTCATGACTTCAGGACCATAAAAGATCCAGGTACTAGGAAAGAAACGTGGACGCAGTGAGAGACAATGTACATGGGGTACACTTGCTCCTTGTACTGGCTGGTTTTGTGTGTCAACTTGACACAAGTTGGAGTCATCACAGAGAAAGGAGGCTCCCTTGAGGAAATGCTTCCATGAGATCCAGCTGTAAGGCATTTTCTCCATTAGAGATCAAGGGTGGGAGGGCCTATTGTGGGTGGTGCCATCCCTGGGCTAGTTGTCTTGAGTTCTATAAGAAAGCAAGCTGGGCAAGCCAGGGGAAGCAAGCCAGTAACATCCTTCCAAGGCCTCTGCATCACCTTCTGTCTCCTGACCTGCTTGAGTTCCAGTCCTGACTTCCTTTGATGATGAACAGCAGTGCGGAAGTATAAGCTGAATAAACCCTTTCCTCCCCAACTTGCTTCTTGTTCATGATGTTTTTGCATGAATAGAAACCCTGACTAAGACACTCCTGGATCTTACACTCCAGCAGAAAATACACATACTAAATCATTTTAATATGCTAACATATAAATTAGGTAAATGTTAAAAATAACTGTTAGGAAAAAAAAGATGCAATATATTCATCTTGAAATTTCAAATTAAATTATCAAAAAAGGAAAACAGGAGGGCAGACAGATGTCCATATAAAATGATAATATGAGAACAAATAACTATTTTTTAAAACACATTTTTGGGAATCATTTTATAGATATCTCTGACCTTTAGCCTTTTGTACTAATGCAAATCCTGTTTCTCAAAGGCTTATATAATGTTCTAAGTATCACCGTTATTAAACAGAACTGCCCAGACTCCTACATTTGCACTTTGCTGCAGAGAAGCAATAAGAGGTGATGTTAACAGACATCCTGACTGTTGCAGACCTCTCAAGTCATCTCAGAAAGTTCAAAGGTTAATTAAGAATGACTGAACAGTAATCTATATACCCAAAATCCCAGAAACCATAGCTATAGTTTCTCATTACTATGTACATGCAATATTTCATTACTACTCTAGTAATTCACATTACAAGTTGCCTTTGCTTATTATAACTCCTAAGACAAATAGGATCACTGAACATTGCTGTACACTTTATTTTTTTTCTCACTAATTTTTAGCAAAATCCAAACCATACAGACACTTGAACTAAAAACACTGGAGTATGATGTTCTAAGATACTAACTGACAGTGCAGTTTTGTGGAATCAAATGGACAGGTGCTTCTTCCCACTGGATGGCATATGTCCTACTGTGGCATAAGCCAAATCTCCTGGAAAGTCGCATTAAGTTCTAGCTGGCCATCCTACTTTGATTAGGGTTTTAGTATGTCAGGAAGGGCCCTGTGTTGACCCCGATGCTCTGTTATCTACATGGAAGACTGTCTCAGGGCCTAGTGTCTGGGGAACTATTTAGTAAAGACAGTACAGACGACTTTGTTGTAGAACTTTACTCTAAACCACTTTTTTTCCTTCCTAAGCTTACTTATAAAGAAGTTGCCCTGACACATACTACTACAGCAATCAGGCAGTCTGAAATAACTTTAATTTTTAAATTAAGTGGCTTTTTAAATTTTTTTCTTCTCTTCGAAGCTAAATTTGACTATTTCAAAGAAATAACCCGAGAAGCCATTTAAATGGCCAACCTAAGCACTACTTGAGCAGATGAAAAATCTATTATAATCCTGGTGGCTTACAGCCACACTTCTTCCTGTATACTTCATAGCTTTTAAGTACCTGATAATAGATGTGCCATACTGGAGTACTGTTATCTTGCTTAAGAAGAAAGCACAAATGACATCACTTCCAAGAGGTTTTCTCAAAGTAGCAAGAATGCTGTCCACTATTGCTCCAGATGCCACCCGTGTCTCTTCTGTGTGACTCTGCTAGAGCAACTGGAATGTTATAGGACTATTCTATACTTAGATGTGTAGAGAGAGCTGTATGCATAGCCATGTACATACATTTTCCACTTCCAGTGAATAAACAAGTAAAGAAGCTTATTCATTGCATTATATATTCATAGCTTGCCAAGTAGATGGTCTTTAACTGTTGGATGGCTGAGTGGGTGGGTGGATGGGTGGGTGGATGGATGGATGAATAGATGGATGGACCAACAATGTAGTAAAACTGTCAAAGGACCAAGATGTGTTATGCATCTATGGTCACAAGAGGGCATTATGGTCCTCTAGCACCAAGTGCAAACATAGATATGTTTTATGAATCCACAACTATTTCAAGACTTGCAATATCCCAATCATTCTGGAAAGTTAACCAAGATACAGATACTCCTCAAAAAATGTGGCCCCATTTGGAACTTGGTGTGAGTTATTTGCTCAAGTTACTCATGGGATAACTTATATTTTTTCTTCCTTAAGCATGTATAAGTATAATCCTAATATCAAGGATATAAATAGAAATCATTTTCCTAGGAAATTGCAAAATCTATATTTTCTGATAACAGAAGAAAATTACATAGATGGGGAGACAAAAGCTGAGACTAGCCTATGACTTTAAGGCTCAGAAAGTTTCAAGTAATTCCTTGTTTGGACACTACTCTCTACTCTGAACTAGAAGTACCAGGCACATAGGCTGTTTGGACTTGACCTCAGGACAATTTCTAGCATTAGAAGCAAGCAAGCAAGTAACAAGAAAAGGGAGGAGCTTCTTTACTTATAGTAGAAGCAGGAGGGTCAGAATCAAGAAATAGTTCTGGAAAGAATTTGTGCATTGTTGAATACTTTTCACTAAGTTTTAGAACATTGTAAATATCTAACATCACAGTGCACTGACCTTGAAGGTGTGCTATCTCCAGGCAGCCAGGACATTTTGCCAAAAAAAAATTATGATGCAACTAATATTGCAAAAATGAAATTCTATCATTAGTTTTCAAAATGACTTTAATTGTATAAAACTTTTAGGAAAGAGATATTTAAAAGTTTAGTTCTAGAGTGTTGTATATAAAAATCTATTGTCTATGTCAAAATGAACAAATTACATTCTCTGCCTTTAAGGAAAAAACGAGATTTTAAGTGTGTTGGTCAAACGAAAAGTCTTAAAATGAATAACAGAAAAGTTTACTCATTGATCTGGCTTTCTACTTAAGATATGTGTGTGTTACACTTTACAATATAATTAAATTACATCCTGTAGTCTCCAAAACTATTTTTCCTTTCAAGTTCCCCAAGGAAAGGACAGCAGTAGTGAGTCACTGCCTACCTACTTCACAGCATGAGCAATACTGTTACTACACTATGGAAACACACAGTACAGCAGTGCAATCAACCCGGACAAGTACATGCATTGTTCTGGAGACAGCTAGTCACAGAAACTTAATAGAACACCTACCACTCCTTTGCATAAAGATGGTATATTTAAATAATCACAATTTTTAAATAATTTTAAATAATATCCCTCATGAAAATTTTAAATAAATAGATTAATTCGAAAGAACTTTGATTTTCACTAATACTGGTTTCTAGACATAAGGAAACCATCAATGCTAAATGACTTCTCTCCATCTCCTCCAGTCTCTTTCTCTCCCCTGCTTTGTGTGTGTGTGTGTGTGTGTGTGTGTGTGTGTGTGTGTGTGTGTGTGTATCATACATATATACAAATGCATGATTTGGAGAAAGAAATCTCAACAAATTTATGTAAAATTAAGCTATGCCTGCAGGTGATTATAAGATGCAAACAATTCTTTATCCTCCAATGCCAAAACTATTGCACTGGAGTCTAGTTCTTCTGTTGCTTCACCAAATACAATCAAAGGAGCTTCTCCTCCGCAGTCTACTCCACAGTCTAGCCTTACAATATACAAGCCTTGCTGTATTCCAGTCTGAGAGAACAAGGAGGCCATTGGCCATTGTTCTAGTTTCTACTGGCCCAACTGAACTCAGATTACTGAGCTCACTGGAGCTGTTTCTAAAGCCAGCCGGTTCTCACAGTTACTTTTACACTTTCCACACTGTTTTCATGGTTGCTTTAGGCTGAAACTTTGCCTTATCCAGGACTCTGAAAAATTCTTTTCTTAGAAGCAACCTCTTTGACAATACTCTGTTTTTAGGGTGCTTCTACAAAAAGATGTGAAGGAAAAGGTTGCCAGTGGTAAAGGTATGAAAGCTTACCCTGATTGAGCAAATGGGATTATGGGTAGACTTACAACCCTTGTATAATACTTAAGCCACAAAATAAAATTATATTTCTTACCTACACATCATTTTTTTCTAAAAAAAAAAAAAACAACTATTGAAGAAATTTGCAAAATTTAAAGAACTATGCTTGTCAAATCTGAACTTTTATCTTTGGGGAAAAATGCTCTGATACATACTAAAGTACTCTTTATTACTTACAATTAATCTGAAAGTCAAGTTTTTATGGTTTCTTTAATCTAGACTGACCATAATATAAAGGTCTTTTTCCAGTGGTGAAATCTGGCAAAGGCCAGCTTACCAGCAGTAGTCCAGCAGGTGTGGCGGAAGCACAGGGATATATATGTGTTGCCAGTACATCGGGTAAAGCAGAGCAGCCGATCCATGGAGACAGGCAGTTAACTAAAATTCACAGAAGGGTAACAGTAATGAGAAGCTGCTGACCCTCTAAACAAAAAGGCATGTTCAAGGCATCAAAGATGAGTGATCATCATAGGACAATTTACACAGTGACATAGCTCACACTGTTTTTTACCAACTCTACATGTAAAAGTCAGTGTCTCAAAGGTCCCTCTGAAAAACACACAAACAGCAAAAGAGGTTTCTGGGGAATCATATGCAGATTGCCATATTCAACTTGAAAACATAGTTAGGGTCAAATTTTGGACAATAAATAAAATTTGAACTGAAAAAAAATCAGTGACTCTCTTAGAAAATATTGTAGGAAATGACAATTTGTGCAGCGCAGTTTGCGCATCACTCAGATTAATACAACACGATTAAATATGGGAAGAAGAGAGGCTGAAAGCTCCTGAGGGATATCATTAGGGCAAATTGCCAAAGAATGAAACATGAGCCAGTCAGGAGAGTCTGGAAGCTGCACTAATACCAGGGGACCTGAGCGTTCGACAGTTGGAGCTTCAGTAATGTGTGAACTGTGGGTTATGGTATCAAGAGACTCTGTTCACTGACACACAGAATGTCACTATTGACCAGCGAGCTGCCCAAGCTTGACAGCTGTACTACAGGAAGCCAAGTATATCATAATTTCATATTTAAACTGCTCATTCCAGATTAACATTTTGTTTCCTAGCTTTATATCACAGCAGCTGCAATTACACTGTTGCTACTTTAGAGGTAATTGCCATTTTAATTGTTGTGTTTTGGCAAGCAGTTAATTAAAAGAATTTTAATGCTTAACAAAGGGATAACATTTTTTTTTCTCCCTAACTAATCCTCATTCACATTTCTGTGTGGCATTTAATTTTAAAATGATCAAAGTTATAAAGTATATTCTTGGTGAATAAAGGAGTAATTAAACCAATGTTCTTTTTCATTGTGTTAGTGTTTACTACAGTCTCCATTTCAAGGTTGCCAAAGAAGTTCTTTTAGTTAACTTGAAAGAAAGAATTTTTAAAACTGTATGAAAATGAACCATATACTTTCCATAAGAAAATAGCTCCATCTTTTTAACAGAAATCAAAATATATACACAATAACTACATTTAAAACAATACATGTACACAAAGCAATCAGAATCTCATTAACATCACCACTGTTCTACATGTAAGTATAAAATAGCTTTATTCTATAGAAATCAATCATGACAATGTGATCTAAAATAAAAACATTACAATTTTCAATCATCTTTTCCATGTATATTATGTATTTTCCAGTAAGACTTTTTAATCAATATTATGTGACAAATACTGCAGTCTGACTCAGACTCTGATACCAAACCAGAAGCACTCGCATGCCTTGTACACATGCTTTGTTAGTTTTTCACAGTATTCTTTCAATAAATAATATTTTTAATTCCTCAATTACAGCAAACACTATGCCACTAGGAGGCATTCAAATACTTCTACTTACCAAGGATAGACCAAGGATCTGAGTAGATTAGAAACCAGATTAGAGACTGAAAATGAGGCTGAACTACACTCTGTCAAATGCTCCAAGAGATTTCCGATGCTGGTTGTAAACTGTGTGTTTTAAGTCCAAGTTAAGAGAGTTTACGTCCCTTTGAAAAGCATAGTTATCTACTTTGTTCATGTGGAAACAAATTACTTTGCAACATCTCATTTAAATTTTAAAAATGAAAATTTTCCTTTCTTATTAAGAAAAGAAACATGAAACAAAAGGAAAAGCTTATCTAAAGAGGAGGTGCAGCCATGATGGCAAGACTTCACTGAGTGCATACGGTTGAACAACTACCCGACACCCTGTAGCTACTCTACCCCCAAACCGGCACTCCCTAAACATGTTAGGCAATGTTCATCAACAAGCAATGGTATTATGTGGTGGGATGTATTAAAGGCATCCTAAAGATGGCTTCTAAGACCAGAAATGCTGCATCACAAATCCTTGCACTGTCCAGCATTTGGCAAGTGGTACCCTTGCTAATCAAGCCTACGAGAGGAGAACTGTCATACAGCCCGTGGAATCTTTCCAGACAAAAGAACAGGAAAAAGGAAAAGGTAAGAATATAGGACAATCTCTTTTTAGCTCGGGTCTGCCTTAAGAAACCTCACTGCATCACCTGCGTAAATATACATACTCTGGGGCTTCTCTATCCACTGTACATACGCTTCAGAATTACGTATCATTTCCCAATGATAACAATATCAATTAAAAATTGTTCTCAAGCACATACTTATGGAGACAGAAGACCAAAGAAGATCCAATATGCACTATTCAAACAACAGTACAAAAGAGCTATAAAATTTTAAAACTTGAGCAATTATTATAGCATGAAGTTGAAGAGAAGACAGCAAAATTACAAGTAAATAAAATCATAATCATAAGAAAATAAATGACACTAAGAAACTAAACACACACATGTAGGTTGAATGAGATCTAGCACTCAGTTTCTCAAACATAGAGCTTGGAGACTGACAAGCTGCACGGCCTGTGATACCTGCTCACATCAGCGGACTCAAGTGCCTGATCGCTAACATAAAAAGTTTCCAGGAGACAGGGAATAAGCACTGTCTGTCACAGGCCAAAAACTCTTTACTCTTAGATGACATGAATTATAGTATTTTATATTCTTAGTGAAAGATTCTTATCTGAAACAGATGGCTCATCATATATAAACTCTACCAACAAAATGTATCCAAAGATTAGGTCTAAATGTTTAATGCCCACTAGTAGTTATGGAATTAGAAAAATCATAACATTTCTTTGCTTATACCAACAAAAAAAATATTACCTTCTATATGCTACTTCACAAGACCATGATACAATACTAAACACACAGAGACCTACTCTTCATGAAGCATACATGCCAGTCTTCATGAAGCTTGCATGTCCTGAGGAAGGCTCATCATAAGACCATCACACTTTGCAAGTTGAGTATCCTCGTCTAAAATTCCCAAAACCCAAAAGACTCTAAATTCTTTTATTTTTTTGTAAATGCCAACATGACACTAAGTGGAAGACTGCACACCTGCCCTCACAAAGCAGATTCCAGTCAAAACGCATGCGTACTAAAAATACTGTTTAAAAGGACCTTCAGGCTTCATGTACAAGGAACATATGAAAGTTGAATAAATTCTGTTGGGATTCAGACGCCATACTTAAATATTTCATTATGTATCTTCAAATATTTCAAAAGTTAAAACATTCTGGTACTGTGTATTTCAGACAAAATCATCAATCTGTCAGTCAGAAATGCTATGAAGAAATCTAAAGCAGATTAAGTGCTGAATAACAGAGAAACTTGTGTAGAAAGAGGATTGTGGGAGAACTCTAATGTGACTGAATGGGACCCAAATGAAGAAAGAAAACAGAGTCTTGTAGACCTAGGGAGAACATTCTCTGCAAATAAGCATGGCAGTCAAAGTCCTTGCCATGCAACATACACAGTCTCTCCACAGAGCAGTAGGGATTAGATAGAGCATGCAGGAAGATGGCAGAAAAGGAGAGCTGGTGGGAAGTGGGTCAGCTGCAGGGTAGAGCAAAGAGTCTACATTTCACTCTTCCACAGTTTAAAAGAGTGGGAATCATGTAAATACATCACTAAAATGTTTTTTAAAAAGACAAAGTAGTGCTAAGAAAACTATGTATGCAGGACATTTGTGTGAGAGTGAAATGAGACCCCTGTAACAAGCCAAGGAAGAAGCATCATCTGTGTGCTTTATAATTAATAAGCCTTTACATTTAGAGAAAAAAAACAGCTCAATGATCTTTCTGTAAATTAATACTACCCAAAATTACTTGTCTGACTAGTGACAGGGCTAAGAGTCTATACTGCTTTTCTACTAGTTAGTAGCTTCTTTAATCCATCAGTTATTTTTTTTAATCAAGTGAATATTAAAAAGAACTGTTTGGGGAAATAGTTACTTTACATATGGAAAGGCAGGTCCACAGTGAAATGCATAAACCATACAGTCTTTCCATATCTTCACACATGTATAACCTTTGCCATTGTCAATATTTCCCAGGAGAACAGCACTTTTTACAGTTAGAGAGCCTACATGAACACAGGACTTATGCTACATTCTTCTCCTAGTGTTCTACACTCTAAGAATATGAATAGGTTTCCTATGATTCGTACCCACATTACTACCATAAGACATTTATTAAATAATTAAGCATGAACCTATAAAGTATACAAAAGAACTATAGAGGGAAAGTTGCAAATCAATTATGAAAGAAAAAGAATAACTAAATTAATTGGAGAGTTAGCCCATGACTATCAATAGAAAGATAGTATCTTCAAGATATGAGCTTTTCCAAAATCAATCTACAGAGTCAATGCAATCAAAACCCCAGAGCATTGTTCTCTGTACATCTATCAGTTGACTAATACTTGTTATATAAAAAGCAAAATCCAGAATAGCAAGTATATTCTTAAAAGAAAAACAAGGTTGGAGGCCACAGACTATTTGGTTTTCAAATGCGAGTGTAATGCCACAGAGATGAATACAGGTTAATACTAGTGAAAGCACAGACAGATCTATTGAACAGAAGAGGTAGTCCAGAATAGACCCCATAAATACAATCAGCTGATCTTTACAGATCTACTGAACAGAAGAGATGGTCCTGAATAGACTCCTATAAATACAATTAACTGATCTTTACAGATCTACTGAAGACAAGAGGTGGTCCAGAATAGACACCCATAAATACAATCAGCCAATCTTTGACAATAAACTGAAGACATTCAAACTGAATAATGGCAGTATTTTCAACAGATAGCATTGGAACAACTAGACATCAAAATTGAGCCAAGCATTATGCCTTTCACAAAATTTGACTCAAATAGATCACAGGCCTCAATGTAAAATCCAAAGTTATAAATATCAAAAAGGTAGCATAGCAGAAAAATCTATATGCCCTGGGGCTTGACTTTTAGACAAGATACCAAAAGCATGATGCATGTCAGAGAGACCTGAGAA